GATATTTTCATGATATACAACCAATTCTCTTTATCATTATATATATATATATATATATATATATATATATATATATATATATATATATATTCATTAAATAACTCGTTTTATATTAATACGATATCATTTAAATAAGAAATAAATAATTTGTATAATACGAGAAAAATATATCGGACGTTATACTCTGCGAGAAAATCTGCCGAAAAAAAAAAAAAAAAGAAAAAAAGAAAAATAGAAAAAAAATCGTAGATTCGCTTACTTACTTTTGCCTTTCAGACTTATAGCTGGCAGTAAGTTCATCGAATTGCTTGCTGTTCATTTCCATAAACGTTTTGAGTACATTATAAACAAGTGCTACGATCGTCTGATTCCAATGCTCCTTGCTAATTTTATACAATGCGGGGAACATGATCGCCATTATTACGTGATTATTTTCCTCGATTAGCGACATTATATACTCGTTATTCCAGAAGTACAATGCTCTCTCTGCGACCTATGTATATCGATAAATAAGCAATTAAAAATTATTTTACGATTATTTCTATTATTTCAAAAATTTAATTTTTTATAATTTATGATTATATATATATACATATATATATAATATATATATATATATATATATATATATATATATATGTACGAATTCAAGTTACATATTACCTGGAAATGCGGCGAGGATACGCAACGTGCGATTTGCCTGAACAAAGGCTCTTGGATTTTAACAAATTGGCTAGGTTCTATGACATCAAGTATTTCCTCAATCTCACCAAGGAACATAACCTCCTTCTGGCTGCATGTCTTAGGCCAGAACTTAAGGAGGCCTCGTACAACTGGTTCCGTTAAGGTTGCGTCTTTCTCCAAGAATTGTACAACGCAATAAGCTAACTGTGCATGATAGAGCGATAAACACTTCACTTTGTGTAATGGTAGTAATACCTATGTATAACAGATAAATCAATTGTTAGACGTAAGAGATCTCATATATATATATATATATATATGAGATAAAAGAAATCATATCAAATATATCTTTAATTCACAATGTAATTTTTTTAATATGTAAAAAAAATTTTACCTTAATCAAGAACTGTTTGTGTTCTACTTTTAAAGGTAGAGCAAATCCATTAATGATGCTACCAAGAATTTCAAGGAGTTCGCCTACTCCATTAAAGTGTTCCGTCTCATAGACGAACCTATAATTAAAGAACAACATTAACGTGTCTTTAATATGAATAAACAAACCAGTTCTCCAGGTATCAATATTCTAAATAATATGGATAACGTGAATCAAAAAGTACCTCAGAAAAATGTTATTAATTTGTTTGCGTATGAACGCTCGAAGACCAAGGAACTTGCCGTAAATACGATGTAAAACGGTCTTAAGAAAATCTCTTTCCCTAGGATCTTCCGAGTCGAATAATTCCAATAACTGTAATCATAAATTACGATTTACATTATTGTATGTACTCAATGAACATTAATTTACATCTTAATATAAACAGATTTTGTTCGATAATTATTGTCATATCAAATGAAATAACATTTACTTTGTTGATTTTCAGTTGATTCAAACGAAGCGTTAAAACACTAGAAATTACCAACTAATCAAAATGTGTCCGGTTTCAATCGTTTTAATATAAACGTTTACCTCAAATTTTCGTCGAACATTTTTTCTGAAGGTATTATGATTTTTCTATTATATATATATATATGAATAATTTTATAAATCTCTTTTTTTTTCCTTCTCCTGTTTTCCTTTCTTTTTCTGAGAAACATATGAAGTAGTATATCTTAATATACAGGAATAATATTTTTTTTTATAGTTCAATAAAACATGATATATATTGAAAAATAAAATAGATAAATAAAATGTTTCTTCTGAGATTAAAAAAAAAAAAAAAAAAAAAAAAAAAAAAAAAAAAAAAAAAAAAAGTTATTTTAAATAACAACAGTTATTTCGAACTTATTCTTCTTTCATAAAAATAATCCTTACTTGTAAAACAAATTTTTGGTCAATAACTTTCTTGCCAATGGCAGGTTGGAAGTCTGAAGACTCGAGAAAGCGAAGAAAGAATTCATAAACCAACTGAAGGTGGGGCCAGCTCGCCTCCAATGTTGGATCATCTTCTTCTGGATCAAAGTCTGGATTTTCACTAGGTGGCAACGTACGGAAAAGATTCGCTGATATCTACAAAAAAAAAAATATATATATATATAATTATTTTACAACATGAATAATTAAAAAAAACAAAAAAGAAAACAGAAAAAAAGCGGATAAAATAACGATGATATAGACATACCATCTTGATGATTTCTGGGTAAACAGGTTCGGTAAGAACGCCTCGTCCAGCCGTGATGTATTCCACCAATTCGTTGAGGGTACTGCGTTTAATTTCCTTCCCCTTGAGATCCGCCATCGGATCCATAAAATCGAACGCCACACAGCATTGCCGAAGTTTTCTAATAAACAAATCTTCTTGCTCTGACGGTGTAACATCTGTAAAATAAATTAATGAATGTTATCGATAAAATATTTCATAAAAATTATTAAAAGCTAATTTATATCATTATATAATTATAACGATATAAATTATTTTTGATATAATGATAAATGGATAATCATTTTCATGATAAATACATGAAAAATTATATTATTTACATATTATAGTATGTAATAAATGTATAAATATATGTATAATATATTTTTAATATACATATAAAAAATAATATTTATACTATATATATATATATATATAATAATAATAATAATAATATACTGTAATATGTACCGATAATAATTTAATTAATATTTATACTAATTATAATTATTACGTATCAGTATATATTATTTATCTATTATTCTATTAATATATATATATATATATATATATATATATATATATATATATATATGTATATATAAAATTAAATTCATTAATATTTTATTAATATTGTATTTATTTTAAGCAAAGTTCCTGGTCGAGTTAGTTTGCTTTATGGACATAAAGTATCGAGGGTGACTATTCAATCATCCTCGGATTTCCTTTCGCAAGAACCCGTCATTGTTGTATTTCAATGAAGAACACTATACATATAGATACGTGAGAACACGTTCGTACGTTCTCTGACCATTCATTAGTACCATCATTATGTCGTTACCGGTATTAATCGTACAATATTCTATCTACGTGCTGCAAGAAGCAAATATGAAAATAATATCATGAACGAGAACCTTTCTTTTCGTTATATGATTATCGTCGATAGGCTCTCTCTTTAAAATACATCCCTTTTTTTTCTTTTCAATTTCAACTTACAACGTGAACAATATTTATGTAAATTCAATAATTTTCTATAAAACAAATATTGTAAATTATAAACTCTTATCTCAATTTTTGTTTTCCCAATTACAAAAAAAAAAAAAAAAAATGAAATCAAATAATCATATGATATTAAAGCTATGGAAAAAAAAGAAAGAAGAAGTGAAAAAAAAGAAGAAGAGAAAAAAAAGAAAAAGAAAAAACGAATCGAATGAATTGATTACATTGATCGTTGATAAAAATTCTTAAAGAAATATTTTTATCGTCCTAGAAATTGTAGAAAGGTATCCTTCTCCGACCTTCTCCCACTTTTTCTTTCTCTAGATTAAAGAAATTGGAACACAGCCACTAAGATCTTTCCCATCTAAAGATTATTAAATAGATCAACGTGACCGATAATGCGGACAATGACAGTCTCCATATTCCTTCTCATTTTTATAATATCGCAAAGAGCCAAGTCATTAATAAAATTGATATTATACGTTTAATGATTTTTTTTTCTTTTTCCTTTCTTTCTCTATTCTTTCGATTATTTTAATAGTTTAAATTAGAAAAAGAATAAAGACAATACCTCTGCTTGAATATTCCTATCAATTTGATCACGTTCTATCACATATACATTTGTATGTATTACAAAAGTTAATTTCTATCAATAGAATATCTTGAATGTGATATATTATCATATTACGTTATCATTTTTGTTCTTGAGATGTATGTGTGTAGATAATTAATCGTTAAAGGAATGATGATTGTACTATATTGGCGTAGTCGTGATGTCAATGAAATTGTTGATACTAATCCAGATGTATAGCAAGTAATATACAAATCTAAACTCAATGGTCAATTGCAATTTCAATGGGGAAAAAAGAACAAAATTTGTTTTTTAGATTTGTACCAAAATTGTAAAAAAAAGTCGACCTTTTTCTTTTCCCTTTTCTATTTCGAATTTATTCCTCTTTTCCGCGAACTTTTTTTTCTTCTTCAAACAATTGGAAAGATCATTTATGCTTCATCGATAATTCGATGACATTTTTCAAGATTGTCTGGCAACATTTTTTTGTAAAATATCGCGACATTGTCTAAGTCGAATTCCCCTTTTTAGGAATTTAAGCGTGACAAAGATATTTTTCTTTCTTTCTTTCTTTCTTTCTTCCTTTCTTTCTTTTTTCTTCTTCTTCTTTTCTTCTTCTTCTTTTTCTTTTTTTTTTTAAGTTAGCACGGTCGACTAACCGTAACAGATGAAAAAACTACACTGACTGCCCAGACAAAGTCCAGATCTCAAAAGTTGTCTCGGACTAGGAAAGCGACTCAAGGATCATTATCTTTCCCATTAGAAGTAACACTCACACATATGTGAGCCGACATTTACCCCCAGGGAACGAGTACGAAATAAAAGTGAAGAGAGAAAAAGCGTATACCTGTTACAAAGAAAATCGAGTATCCGAGTTCCTCTCTCTTTCTTTCTTTTTATCTTTGTCTGCCCATAGATAAACTTTTCCGCCATATTCTTCTTCTTCGTTATTTACGATTTTATATAAATATTTTTTCTCCCTTCGTGTTTTATTTTCTTCATACTTTTTACTGTCACCTCTTTCTCTCTTTTATATCAAACGTCATCGAAAATTAACACGTTCGCTAAAAATGCCTGAATTATTTTGAATGATCGTCATTTTATTTATTCACTTTGTAATGGTCGAATCGAAATAGTTTCTTTTTTCTTTTTTTTTTGTGCGAATCAGTTAACAACGCGTGGGTGTTATAGCGAAAATAACTTTGCACGAAAATATCGGACGAACCTCGTAGGTGTCTAGAAAAAAATTAGACAAAAAAAGAAAAAACAAAAACAAAAAGAAAACACGAAAAAACAACAAAGAAAAATATATAAAATAAGAAAGAAAAAAAAAATTGAACAACGAATAATGCGAATATTATATATACGAATAATGCGAACATTATATATACATACGCACATAAAATAATGTGTATCATTTTTTTTTTATTTTTTAAATTGATTAAATACTTAAGAACCACGTAAATTTCAACATCAATCGCCTTTTCTTTTTTCAAACTACAAAGAATAGATGATTCTTTTCTTCTTTTAAGATGTTATTGGATAATAACAAAGAAAGATGCACGATCATATTTGAACGATAAAAAGTAACGATCGAAAACAATTGGCGCACCTTTGTTAAAATTCTGGACATTTTGAGGCCATACTAACAAAAAGTAATCATATTAAATCTGTTTACCAACCGGAAATGCGTTCATGAGGGTACCATTAAAACTTATGCGTCGTTATAATCCTTTAGACGCAAAAGATCGATCGTTCGATCTTTTACGTCTAAATGTGAACGTTTAAAATAATAATTTCTTATATGTACACGTCTATATATATAATAATAATAATAATAATAATAATAATAATAATAATAATAATAATAATAATAATAATAATAATAATAATAATAATAATAATAATAATAATAATAATAATAATAATAATAATAATAATAATAATAATAATAATAATAATAATAATAATAATAATAATAATAATAATAATAATAATAATAATAATAATAATAATAATAATAATAATAATAATAATAATAATAATAATAATAATAATAATAATAATAATAATAATAATAATAATAATAATAATAATAATAATAATAATAATAATAATAATAATAATAATAATAATAATAATAATAAGGAAAATACCAATAAATTTCTTTACAATGCCGACAAAACGGCGCATTTGTTTGAGAAAAATGTTGAAACGGTGGCGCCCTCGCATCGATAAAAAGTTTGCTACTCGTAAAGGCTTCGGAACCGCGGCTTTATTGAATTCCACATATCCAGTCGCAGGTATCATGCAAATTTTATGCTATATAAATATACGATTCGCAAAATGTTTCAACATAGATTCTTTCATATTTCTTATTCTCTTCTTCCGAACGAAAATATCAGGAATATTTATTTCTCCACGGAGAATTCTTTAAAGAAAAACAGGTAAAAGAAAATGAATTTGAATTTGTTGAATAAGTAAAAAAGAAGAAGAGAAACAAAAAAAGAAAGAGAGAAAAAAAAACGAAAGGAAAAGAAGAAGAAAAAAAAGAACGTTCTCATAATCCGTTCTTTAAATCCATAATAATTAAATCAATGGTAAAGAACAACAATTCGAGTTTAGTTTTGCTAGGATTGAAAAAGAAAAAAAAAAAGAAAATACAAAAAATTATATTATGAATCTATCTCGTGTTCTTTCTGCCATTTTTCTTTTTTCTTTTTATGGAAATGAACGGACTTTGATGTGCATTAAATTTCATCATTTTTTTAATAATTCCTCTTTTTCCTTTGAACAACTAATATTCATCTTTGAACATCTCTTTGCATCAACAATATTAGCCTCTTGCTTGCTTCCATCTTTTTCTCCATTCGTTCCTAATTTAATTACATTATATCGATGAGATTACCTAGATTCAAATAATGTTAAGGAAAAATTTATTTGCGTACTGATAAAAGCTATTTACGGATTTCAATATATATATATATATATATATATATATATATATATATATATATATATATATAATCCACGTTAAAACGATCGTAGGATAATGCTCTTCTTTCGTTTGTAGATTATTCCGACTTTCACGGAGAATTTCATTTTCGTTTCGTAACGCTACAAAAATATATTTTACTTACTATTATATATCAATCAGCAAAATGGAATTGAGAAAAACTTCCAACTAATATTGTTCCAATTTCGTCGTTATTTATTTTTGAAAGCTCGTCACATATTAAATTCTGAAATTGATGTAATTACCCATTAAAAAAAAAAACCTTCGTTGAGATCGATATTTAGGAACGAATGTATTTCGAGAAAATGTTATTTTCATTTAAAGTTCTTGCGTAAACGAGAAATGTAATTTGTAACAAGAGAAAAAGAAAAAAGAAAAAAAAAGAAAGAAAAAAAAAGGAAAAAGGGAGGGAAGGAGGAAGGGAGAGGGAGAGGGGGAGGGTGTGGGAGGGGAGAGGGGGGAGAGAAAGAGTGAAAAGAACAGTAGCCGTTGTCTTCTCTACGTAGGAGGTTACGGATAAACCGTTCGATATATACATTGTATAGTAAGCATATATATCATACATACGTGTTACACTCACACATAGGATACGC